AGTATTCACTCAACTCTTCTTGTGTAGCAGCAGTCAGAGGAGTGTAATGACTGTAATTCCATCCTGAAACAGTGTTGCCTAGAACAAATGTTGACTACAAAGGAATTCACCAGTTGGTGCATGTTATATGCAGTAGCAGATAATTTAGGGCTGAACAGGTTAATTCTGAATGTTTCCTCCTTTGGAGCCTGAAGGATCCTGACCAGCCAGCTCCATAGAATTGTACATTGAAATGTAATTCAGGGACCAAATTTTCTCCTGACTTGATTGCCACTGAAGCTGCTGAAGTTACATTATCAGAGAATTCAGCCAAAGACCTGTCATTATACACATCACAGGTGGGGAAGGACAATGGGTGACTGCTTACAGTAATGGATTGGGAGTCAAAACTTCTGGGATCCATTCTTGGCTTTGCCACTCATTCACCACCCAATGTGAAGATAGTCACTTTGCTGCTCTGTATCTTGGTTTGCTCATCTGGGAATAGTAACAAAGAAGCATAATTAATTAGTGTTTAGAAAACACTTTGGGGCCCTTAGGTGTAACATGCTAGAGAGGGTCAAGGTCGTGTTGCATTGCTGAAATGCTTCTTTGAGGGGAACACACTGGGATGTGTCTGTTCTGACACCCACTCCTGGCCAGCATATAGCACCATCTATGCTCACTGGGCTGAAGGTGGTAGAGGTGTTCCTTGACAAGATGTATCCCCCCAGATACTCCATGCTTAAAGCTGTGCTCAGGAACTGTGCCCTTTGGCTGAGCTTTTCTGCAATGGAGGACCCCAGTGAGAACATGAGAAGTGGAGCAGATACTCTGGGACTCCTCATGCTGAGGAAGGTCTGAGCTGGTCCATTAACATAAAGCCCCAAATATCTGTCTGAAGGTGTGTTTTAGAGTGGCAGAAGGGAGAAATGAGGCCAGTTTTGCTTTTCTGAATTGCTGCTTTGACCCGGTATGTCAGAGGGAACAACTGAAGTCTGCCTGCCTGCCGCCACTGAGCACTTTTCTCTGGCTGGCTGTGCTGGGGATGCCTAGCTAGAGTGTCCCATATATGTGCACACAGCTCCAAGAAATCTCTGAGAAGCTTTGAGGCAGTGACAGGCAATGCAGCACTGCAGTAAAAGTCCAACTCTGCTGCATGCCTTCTCTGGAAGATGTTTAACCAGGGATGTGGTGGGCTTACCCCTATCAACTCTGTTGCAGTCCTAGCTGCAGGGAACAGCAGATTTGCAGCAAGAAAGATTTCTACAAAGGTCTGTCTTCCCGGGGAAAAGAGGAGGAACAACAATTAAGTAAATAAATGAAAAAGAGCTCAGTGCAGCATTTTCCTTGGCTGCAGTCTCTGATATGTTGTATTTTAATGATTCTCAGGCCTCAGCTCTGCCCTCTCCTAGCTCTTGCCTCTCATGACGGATGCAATATTCTGTCTCTTTTAATAGCATTAGTGTCTGGAGCGTTCCCAACAGGAGGTGACCTCAAAGACTCATTAACCTCTTCATATCAGATCCCAGAGCTTGCCTTGTCGTTTTTGTGTCTGGATCAGTTAGGTTTCAGACTGTAGCTGTTCCCACCATGTACAGCACAGGCAGGAATCTTGAAGTTGTTGATTTTATTTAATAGTAAGGTGGGGCAAGAAAAAGCTGGATTGGAAGAGTTGGGAGCACCCAATAATTTGTGTGGCTATGCCATTTCCTACAGCATCTTGCCTTGTGTTGGGAGGGACCAGAATTGCAGAAGTTGGGGGCAGGGTGCTTTTATCACTCACTGCTCCTACAGAATGCCCCAAAATATTTCCTGCTGGAAGAGGCAGAGACTGGAGTTAGCTGGGTATGATCCTATATCCAGTACTCCTAAATCATACAGCACATCCTGCAGGGAGAGGCTGAGACAGGAGTAGCAGGAAGCTCCCCACCCTCAGTACTCCTGTCCTGCTCCCTGTAGCACTTTCTGCAGAGACTGACCTGCTGTGGACACCTTACCTTCCAAGCCTGTACTGTGTGGCTTCATTTAAGAGAGCTGGGGGAAGATCTTTTGCAGTGTCTTGCTCCTGAGTCCCCTACAGGAGGTCCCAGCTGCCCAAGTTTTCTCAGACTGCTTCATCGCAATCCACCTGCTCGGTGTGCTATTGCAATCATGCCATGTCATCCTGTCTCACCAGGCTCATCCTTCAGTACGTATCAAAGGGACGGAACACAGCTACAACCCAGTCCTGTGCCAAGATGACCAGTGTGCTGCCAGTGTCAAGGGGAGGCACACGCACTGCCCATTCTGCAGCATTTCTGAGGCTTATCAGGATCCATTCATTCTCCGGGCTCACTACCGAGTCAAACACGTGGACAAGGGCCTTGACTTTGCAGGTAAGACGCTACTTTTAAAGGCTTGGCTAGGTTGATTGTAGTGTCTGCAGATACTTCTCTTTGTGTACTGAAATTGCAGCCTGCAAAGGTCCTTGAATCACAGTAGATGTACCTACATGTCCCAAAGTTTCTGTGTAAGGTGGGGACTGGCCAGTTTCTCCAGCATTGATGCACACCCCATCAAAAATAAATATGAGGCAGTGCCTAATGCTATAGGGATATAGATTACCATTTTGGATCCAGATTGGGTTGGTGGGGACTGAAAGTCACCACTATCTGATGCCTGTTCAGCAGCTCATGTGAAGTGACTTAGTGGGTCTCTGTCTGGGACCTGGTGGGCAAGTGCCTATGACACAATACCACTGTCACAGCTGCCCCTTGTCTGCTTTCCTTTGGCAAAGTGCAGACAGCACTGGTTTGGGACAGAAAGTAAAGAAGTACCCAATATTCAACTGTGAGTTTTAGGGAGGCAGAACATCATGATCTAAACTGGAATCTGGTCAGAACATATGAGCTAATGTCCATGATCTTGCAACAGGTGTCGAGGAAGTTGTAATAACCACATCAAGGGTAGGCACATGGATGTGCAGATCACTGGCATTGCCAAGGAGATGGTCTGGGTGGTTCACTAGGTCTTTTTCTTGATGGCAACCTAGCTCCTCCTAGTCTAGGGGTGGGCAAAATGCGGTCCATGGGCCAGATGCGGCCTGCCAGGCCATTCTATCCGACTCGTGGGGCTCTTAAAAATTTAGAAAATGAATATTTATATGCCCCTGGCTGCCTGTCATGTGGTCGTTGATGGCTTGCCAAAACTCAGCAAGCTGCCCTCCGCCTGAAATAATTGCCCATCCAGTCCTAGTCAAACACTGGGTCAGTGCTTGTTCAGAGGGAAGAGCACCACCTGCTGTCTCAGCAGCAGCATTTCGTGCACCACTGTGTACGTCCCTAAGCGCTCTCAGACATTACTGGCCTGGACTGAACCTGCTTACCTATTAGAGCTCAGCAGGAATTAGTCTTACAGTAGGCTTAACATTTGAATCACTTTAAATTTGCTGTGCTACAGTGGGGATCATTCTCCAGACTCAGGTCTCTGCTTTGAAACAGAAATAAGGAGATGATGCTTGCTAAATTGGAAAAGGACAGAGGGAACTTTTGCTTTTACAGCATCTGGGCAGGGCTTTATAGGCACTAGATAGTGTGTGTGTGTACACATAAGTGTGCCTGCAGTGGGAGAGAGAATTAAAAACTAAATAGAAATATTTGGGCAGTATCTCAGCCTTGGTCAGGCAAGGTGTTATCCTAGTTCCTGATCTACTGCTATTAATGTGGAGGAAGCTGCAAGACAGGCAGGTGCTTTATTGCAGGTTTGATTTCAGCTTCAGAGTTGTGCAAAGGGGAGGGACAATAGCACTCAGCACCCCTCCCTGATTCTGCAGATGGCTGAAGACTGCTTCCCTGCCTGCTCTAATGCAGCCCAATGGCTGGCTACCCATGGCCCCAAGGCAGCCAAACATAGCTTGGAGCACAGAGGCACTCAAGCTATGGCCTGTTTTATCAGGCTGTTCCCACCCTGCACTGGAGAGGGCATGCAGTATCATTGCACTGGCTCTGCTCCAGCCAGAGATTCACCTCAGTAAAGGCAAGCAAAGCTGGATTTCTAGCTGCTTGGTGCTGGCTGTGCTAGGAGCTAGAATCTGGCCCATTGCCTTTGACTGAACTACTATTATATTTATGCAAGAGATAGAATTGGGCCTTGGTTCCTGCTTGCTTCCAGTGGATCGTAATTCAGTTTTCAGAAATACTATATTTGACTAGGGGTTTGCAGATACAATAGCAGGCAAGTGGCCTGCTATTTTGTAAAGAGAGAAGATTTTATTGATGCTGCTATATAGCATTAATATAAACCTGTTTAAGATGCTTCAACAACGCAGTCTTGAGTCAGTCATGTGCCCCTTTCTGTTATGTTTTAGAAATAGATTTTGTGTTTAAAGAACAACAGATTTAATCAGGTGAGGGCAAATAAACCAGCCTCCAAAAGCCCAGCTGTGTATGCTCCAAATCTCAAGAAGGACACAGCAGAGCAGAAATCTATAGGGTTAGGACACCTAATATGTTGTCCAGTGTTTGGCACAATTCCAGTGTGGGTCATTAAATTCTACCTAGCCAGAATCCCCTTGGCTGCATCAGCAGAAGGTATCCACAGAACATATCTTCATCAAAGGTGATTTGAAGCAGCTAGTGCTGGCCAGTCATAGATAGGATGCTGGCAGAACTGAGGTCTGATCTAGTCAAGCAATTCTTACATTCCTGTCATTTTTATTATACCCAGTGCTGGTTCAGACTGGGGAGCAGGCAGGTAGCACAGTGGTAGACAGGGCATGGAGCAGAAAGCAGAGCAGCAGATTGGGCAGGATGCATAGGGCATGAAGCAGAAAGAGCAGCAGATCAGGTAGAGGGAAGGGATCAGAGTGGCACTTGGGGAGGGTTCAGGGTTAATTTGTGGCACACCTGCCAAAAAGGTTGCCACTGGTTTAGGAGAGGAGGAAAGTCTCATGAACATGGTATTGGGGTGACTGTTCCATTCACAGGGTGGTAACTGAATAAGTTACTTGGCCCATCATGAGCCAGTACCGATATAACTTTATACCTCCCCAGTCTTCATACTGATCCCCCACTCTCATGTGTCCAGGTATTGCTCATGTTCCCCAGTGGAGGTTTTAGTGGTAGTTTACATATTATGTACTTTTTGATTTCATGAAGACTGTGTCATTCCCCCCTGGAGAGCTAGGAGCCTCAGTTACCATCAGCCAGTTTATCGCTTCCGGAGAACTGAGCTGATGGCCTTGTTACCTTTGTTTTTCTTTATCTTTAGCTGGCCCCCAGCACAAGTTAGAATAGTTTGAGGGCTGTCTGTGTTCAGCTGCAGGGACTTGAATCAAGGTGCTTCTGCAGTAGATGGGAGTAGCTGAGGTGCAGCATTTGAGTCCTCTGAAAGGATCTGTTTCTCATCAGTGTGAGCTAGTGCGTGGATTGATTTCTTTCTAAGGGAAGCACGCTGGTTATTGCAGTTTGCACTTTGCTGTGTAACCGGGGTAGGGAGCCTGGGCTGCTAATGGGATAAAATGCGGTGGGACTGGCATAGCTTAACAAGCATCTGTTACACTGAAAGCAACCCTTTGGAAAGTGTCCTTCGGAAGTGATGCTCTTGTGATTTATTAGCTGCTGATTAGGGATCTTTGGGAAAGCAGATCACTGGTTATTTTTAGTATATTTGTCCTTCTGTCTCCACATACACACAAGAGAAAGAAAGTGGGGAAAGGATTATTTCATCTTTAGTGGAGTGAGTATGACAGAAGGAATACTAGATAAATGGGTCTCTTGGTGACAGCTTCATTGTCCTACATAAAAGTGCACACATCTGATCCAGAGGAATCACAGATTGAAGAGAATCCTGAGGAGGAGGTAAAACCTCTCTGTATTTTGTGCGAAGGTCATGCTCAAAGTGAAGACCTGGTTCTCTTCCTCCCTCCCTGTGCTTTGGCTCTAGGAACAAAGACATCACTAGTATAATATCATAAAGAGAAGCTCAAACTGCCTATGCTAGAGTTCCTGGAGTCCCTTTTCCAAGGTTTTTCAGTTCACACCATATGTGTGTGCTTGCCACATACCTGTCTTGTACCCAAGATGGGGGGGATTCATGATTTACCTGCCCCTATAAGTCAGCAGAGCCCCCTTAAACACTTCCAAGGGTGAACTGCAGACAAAGCTTGTCAGCCTGTGACACCATCTTCTGTCCAAGAGCCTCAAAGTACTTTGTGAATACAGTTAACTGCTCCTAACATCCCATTGATTATTTTTTCTACAGTACTATTCAAACTGTTATTATAGCATGCAGAGGAAGACATGCCTGAGGCATGCCTCGGAGAGCTAAATTGCTCCAAATAGTATGAGGTAGGTGTGTAACACAGCACAGTTGTGTAGAAGGAAGGCATGGAAATGTATAGGGCAGCACAGAAGAAGGTACAAAGATGACAATGGGAGGAGGTTTCAAAGGGAGGGATTGGGGGGAGTCTTGCATGGAACCAAATGGGGTGCATGAGGGATGGAGCAGAGATTTAGGCAGGAGCGAGTTGTAAATGTTACAGCTGCCATTTTACTGAAAGGGAAACAGAACCCAGGAGATGAACTGACCTGATCAAGGTCATGCAGCCAGTCAGTGGCAGAGCAAGGAATCCTGGATCCCAGTTCCCAACCCTAACTGCTGGACCACACTCTCCAGTTCATCCAGATCACTTAGATCAATGGCGGCCAACCTTTCTGGGAGCTGCACTAGAAATTAAGCCTGCACCCTCCCTCCATGTCACCCAGCCAACTTTCTGATCCCTGGCCTATCTGCCGCGTGCCACACACAAAAGCTTTCCATAGCACCTGTGGCACATGTGCTTCAGGTTGACCATCCCTGACCTAAGTGAACTCTGACTAGGACCTGTAAGAGCATGGTAGATGTGTAAAAAGAGCTTTCTCCCCAGTCTGTCCCCATCTGTAGTAGGGCTGCTTTTAAATGACATGATTCCCACTTGCTGCCTGAGAACTGCCCCAGTAGAGGCTTGCCCCATCTGCTGTAGGGCACTGGGCAGTACAGTTCTGTACATCTGTGGGAGGTCCCTTCTTTCCAGTGCCCCTTCATTTCCCATAAACTGGTCTCTTAGTTCTGGCCCAGCCTAGATGCTAAGTTTATTTTTGCTTCAGGGCACAAGGTGATGGCCTGTAAAGGCCAGGGAGAGGTCCTCCTACCTCCCTGCTTCTAAGGCACAGTGCTGACCTGCTAACTTACTGCTTTATGTTTCTACTTCCTTCCTGGTTCTGGCTCTTGCTGGAGGCAGGCTGCCTGACGGGGCTGTGATCTGGGATGACAGCACCTATGTTCTTGTGCCAGTGCTTCGTGCACAGAGTTCCAGGATCTGAACCCTCACTTGCTCACATGAATGTGAATCACCGGTAACTCCACCAATCCTAAAATACATACACCAGTATGAAATCAGCATGAGGGAGTTGGAGGTATAGCTTGGCAGCTCCGTGCCCAGGCCAGCCACTGATGCCTGGGGAAGCATGGGTTTCCACCGTGCCAATCACAACAGCACGATCACTGCATCCCACAGGATAGGCAGTGTCTGGAATTTCTGCCCTGGTCACCCCCTCACCTGCTCCAGGCCATGGTACTGGAGGAAATGATGAATCAAGCCCCACTCCCATTCTCGCAGGAGGTAGGAGCACTGTAGAGACCATTACGAAGGGGATGATTTTCCAAAAAGCAATGTTTCCACTTAGGCAGCTAAGTGAAGGGTCTGAGGACAGTAGAGAATACCATCTCCCATTGCAGTGAGAGCACATGGAGATCTAGCTGGAGGCTTATCTTGGTGCAGGAACAGAGCTCCTAGATGAGAGAAAGAAAGGAAGGTGATGAGAACGGGGCAGATGATGGACCAAGCTGTGAAACAAGCCCTTGATGTTGAGAGGCAGCTTTTTTTCCTTCTGCAGAGGCGCTTGGCATTGGCTCTGAACTGGTGTTGCATTGGGAGTGTATTGCTTCTCCTAAAGCAAAATTCAAGCCATAAATCTAGCAGCTTGGCTGGCTTTTATGGCCCTGTAAAACAGCCTCTGCAGAGCTCCTCGTACGAGGGGCGGTGCTTCAGGTTCCCAGGATTCTTATTGGCTGCTGGCCTGGTTTAGCTCTACCTCATAGTTCTGTAATGACCCCATCTGTCGTCCTCTGCATTGTCTTCCCCCCTTTGAGCATCCCTGTTCTTGTCCAGGGATCTGAAGTCCCAAGGTGCCTTGCCCCTTCCCTGTCCTTCTTCGAAGAAACCAGGTCTTACTAGAGGTAGCCAGGGGCCTGCTGCAGTCCCAAAAGCACTGCAGTGCTGGTGGCTCTGCCAGCAGTTGTCAGCAGCTTTCCATCCGGGTTGTCAGGCAAATTAATTCAGATCAATATGCCAGTTGTTTAGCCCACCTTGCACTTGAGGAAGCCAGTGACCGGCAGCTCAAGGATGTATTGTGGTAGGAGGGTAGACTGGAGTGGAGCTATTAATAGAAACTGCTGGCTTTATTTTAATGCTGCTAGGATGTCTGTGGTGTTTAAATTCCCCACATAGAGGATGCTGGAATCAGATTTCACGTGCACAGCATCCTGCCCCAGAAGTCAGGGCCTCACACAGATCTCCTTCACCCCAACTGCCAACAGGAGCGGAAGGTCCACCGTCAAAATGTTCCTTTCAGCCGCTTCTCTCTGAGCTTTCAGCAGGCTCAGGCTCCTGATCTTCACCACACTTACTTCTGTGAGGATTCATGTTGGGGCTCTTGGCAATCTGCCATAGATCCCAGAGGGACTGGGCCTTTGGGACTTCTCACATGGTTCCTGCTCTGTATTACATGTTCCCAGGACTCCTGGCATTTATTTTGTATCTAGAGCTCCTTCTCCTGGGTGTTGTCTTCTACATGTTTGGCTTGTGTTCACTTGGATTCCCATTTGAGATCTCACATGTAGCCTGTGCTCTCTCCCCATTCTCCTGTCAAGACTTTTTTTTTTTATTCTTTACATGTAAGCTTTGGTTTCAGGTAGTTTTACAGACCTGAAAGATACTCATTCACAGATCAGTGCCTCAGGGCTCAAGATGGGGTACATTCATGTCTCATCTTCATTTCTCACTCTGCTCTGCTTCTCCCTCATCCAGAAGTATTCTGATTTCTGGCTCCAGCAGGCTAAACAGGGCTTTTGCCCTCCATTTAAGTGACCAGTGATGAAAAAGAACGCACACCATTGCATAATTGTAGATTACACACAGATCACAGAAAAAAAAACTCATCAGAGGCAGGGCACCGAGGAAATATAACTGACAGCAGCTAGAAGGCTACATTCTCTGCAGAACAGACAGTGAGGGTAATCAGGTTTAGATGTTTGCTACCATGAGGGTATGGATTAGTCATTGCAGTGGCAGGGCATTGGCAGTGCCCTTCTTTCTCTGGCTTTTTGCCTGTGGCACGCTGAGTTTTGTGCTGGTGTTTCAGATATGGTTCCTTGTAGTTATGGGTGATGGATGGTTTGAAATAGTGATTTGGGGGATTCCTTCATTTAATAATAGCCTGTGAATGAAGGGGACTGGACTTGATGGCCTAGGGGGATCATCACAGTCCTTCCTGTATTCCCATGTCAGTGTTCATTTTCATGGCCCTGAGATGTCCTCATTCTCTTTATTTTCATCCCAGTGTATAGTTAAGACTAATAGAGTGTGGGAAGTGCTGGGGGTGTTTTACTGTAAGAGAGGACACACCTGGCAAATATTAGCAAAGAATCTCACTTTTTTCCTGCAGCCTTTTTTTCCTTTTACTAAGCCCAGAATTGGGCATGTCAGTGTAAACTCCATTGGAAGCCTTAGTGGAGACAGGCCATAAAACCTCACATTGATTAACCATGCTGCAGAAGGGTTATGTGGCATAGCATTGGAACCAGTGGTGGCTGTTGGCCGTCCATGTACATCGGGGCTCACAGTGCTGTTAGCTCCAGCAGGAACTGTTAGACAGTTTTCCCTGAGCTGACCAGCTGCAGCAAAATGTTGCTGAGCCAGATATGTTCTTAAACCTCCCTTCTCTAAGAAGGGGCATTTTCTGCCCTGCTCAGTCAGCTGCAGGGTGTTAATCTCTGTGGAAGGCCTGATCCCATTCTCAGTGAAGTCAGTGGGAGCCTGCCTGCCAATGCCATGCTTCTGATACCCAAACTAGCATTTGCAGCAGAACCACACAAGGTCCCTTTGATCCTCACCAGGGCTTTGCCTTTATCAGGGCTGAAGATCCTGCGCTGCTGCAACCATTGCGAGATCGTAGGCACGATCAAAGGGGAGAAGAAGTTCAAAGGGGCACACTGGCACTGCTACCGTTGTCGCAATGGCTTCAATCGGCGAGATGAGGCGGTGAAGCACTACAAGACCCACTTCCGGAACCCCCACACCACCTTCCAGATCCAGATTGCACAGGTGCCTGGGGCAGCAGGAGGGACCCTAGAAGATCTCCCCGTGGGAGGGTGTGATCTGGGATCTCATGGATGTTCTGATGGAGACTCGGGGCTGTCTTACAGATGATTTGGACCAGGGTCTGTCACACTTGGGGCCAGTGAGGCAAATGGTGGGACTGGCTGGCCTTCTTGGCTGTGCCTGAATTGGGTGCCTTGGTGGGGCTAGCTGCTGGAAGCTGCTCCCAGGTACTTGGGGTAGGACAGTGGTCAACACACATTCTTCCTTGCTCCTGGTGCTCACATGGTCTTCCTGTTGCTCCTGACACTTGGCCGCTTCACTGGTTTCTTCTTTGGGCTTCTAACTATTGTTCTGCCAGACCCAGACCTTGGCTCATCTCCTGGCCTCAACCTTTGGGCCCCCACATCCCGGTCCGTCCAGTCAGCCCTGGCCTTTGGCTTGTCTCTTGGTTCTACATCTTGGCCCTGCTCCCAAAGGGTACAGAAGTAGATAGGGCCCTAGACTGGGAGTTCAGTGGGTACTGTTCAGGGAGACAAGGACTCTATTTCTGCCTCTGCCTCTGCCACTGACTTCCTGGGTGGCTTTGGGAATTCACATCCCCTGTCTGCATCTCTCTTTCTGCCTCTATAAAATGGAGCTGATGCTACTTGTTCACCCTCATAAAGCCCCTTGAGCTGAGTTCATGGAAATCCCTACAGAAAGACTACATTTTATAGGGATCTATGGGTAAAATGTAGAGAGTCATGTACAAGACTGTGCACGTCAGGAGATGAACAGGAGGGCAAATGCTCTGTGTGCCCCAGGTGCAGAGGAGCCTGCAAACACCTCTGTGGTGTCTGCCGTTGAAGGCAGCTGTTAGCTGCTGAGCACAGATCAGATGCATGCCGAGAGTTCAAGCCCCATTGCAGACCCATGGGTTGTCATTCCACCTTCATAACCACTAGGATGGATGAAGAGAGAAGCCTAAGAGCCGGGGATCAGATGTGATTTTTAACCCTGTCTTCTACCCTGTGACAGTGGCCCTGGTTTGTTTTATATCGACCAGACACATGGTCAGCAACTCATGGCACACATGCCAGAGCTTGGCACACAAAGCTGTTTTGCTTGGCAAACCACAGTTGACCTAGGTTCTGGGCAGCTGCCACTGACCACAGAGCCCAGGCTGCTCACAGCAATTGGCCAGGAGGCTGCAAGCCCTGCTGCAGCTGGGAGACTGCAAACAGCTGCCCTGGGCTTTGGAGCCCTAGGCAGGCTTGTGGCAGCAGCTGCATGCACACTGCTGGGCAGATGGTGGGGGAGGGGCTGGGGTTGTGCTGCCTCAGCCCCTTCTCTGCCATGTGCCCCAAGGTGCTTGTGCAGCCACCACCACCACCACAGAGCTTGGCCAGGGCTCCAGAGCCTGGTACAGCTGTTTGCAACCTCCTGGCTTGCCTTCCACGGCTGGCCCAGGCTCTCAGCAGCTGCAGCAGGGGGTAGGCAGCCTGCACAGCTGCACCAGGCTCCAGAGCCCTGGCACCAGCTCTGTGCCAGCAACGATTGCATACTCACCTTGGGGTGCAGGGCAGAGAAGGGGCTGAGACAGCACTACCCCAGCCCTTCCCCCACCATCCACCCAGAGGTGCACATGCAGCTGCCACCAGCAGCAAGGAACAGGCCCCTCACAGCTCCCCTGCAGTCTGCCCCTGGCATGCCAAATCAAGGTGTGGGTCAGTTTTGGGGTGTTTTTGGCACCCTGGCCAAAAACGTTGCTGACCCTTGTCTAGCAGCACAAAGTGGAAGCAGCTTTCACTCCACAACTGTTTCTCACGGCCTCTGTCTCTATGTAGGATGTCAACAGCCGCCAGTATTATGAACGCAGTGCCGAAGCCAATCCTAAGGCCTATGGTGGCCTCAATGTCTCTACCGGAGCCAATGTTGATGTGATGTCCATAGGTGCATTACTGGCCCAAAATGTCCTTGCATCAAGATCGCCTGCTGCCACCTCTGATAAGGGGACAGAGAGCCTGCTGGGCAGCCCTGCCAAGGTACGCTTGATTATGCACAGGGCTTGTTCAAACCAAAGGGCACAGGCCAGGGATGGTGCAATGCTAGAGCATGCACAGGGTGCTTAGATCTGCATGAGCAGGATCTAAGCAGGTCATCTGGGAGGGGGCTGCTCCTGCAGTTTCTTCTCATGATAGGAAGAGCTGGAGGTGGCTCTTGAGTTAATTTTCTTATGCGATGTGTCTCATGCTATTTCTCCTGCCCTTCCCCCAGTCACCTTGCTGTACACTAAACAGCACTGCCATCCAGGTGCAGAGGCAAGCAGCTTACTCCACCATGTCTCTCCACAAGGAGAGGTATACAGGAAGGAGTGGAGAACAAAGGGCATGTATACACTCTGAAACTAAGATTTTGTTTGTCAAAACCTACTGGATCAAGCCATACCAGGATCCTGTATGGACAGCAGTGTCCATACGACGCCTTACATTATCAAGCCTTCACTCAGAAGTTCAATGGGGCATTGTCCTCTTTTTGCTTGGGATGTTTTTTCCTTCTTTTGTATAGCTGGTCTTCTCCAAGAACTTGATTTAATTCCCTTCCTCTATACCTTCTCAACCTTTTTAGACTCAAGGCACCCATCGTTAGACGGAAGGTACCCTTCAGAAAATTCCAGCTCTTAATTTTCCCTCATTTTTTGACTGTGGAAAAATAATAGAGCAATTTTCGTGTTGCCAGGAACTTAGAAAGTCCATAGCAGGTCAGAATGTTTTTGACACTAAGGATTCTTACTTGAAATCTCTGGGTTTATCTTGTGAATCATGTTTGCATGCACCCATGGCACCCTTGAAAGGATCTCAAGGCACCCCAGGAGACACCCTGGTTGAGAATCACTGCTGTATACCCAAGCAGCTAATAGATTATGTAGCTGCTATTTGATTATGTAAAATATCTAATTCAGCATCCGCCTTTGATTAAAGAATTATTGCTCCCTTCCACCCTGTTCCAGCTGGTTAGAACAGGAAAGACCATCCTTCCTGAGAGCAGAGGGGCCCATTCCAATTTAAACTGGTTCTTCCTTAAACATGCAAGAAGACTAAAGCTGTTCCCATCAGTCTGTGTCTTTAATCTCATTCTGTGGCATTAGGTGCCTGTAATATCTAGGCACTAAATACAGCAGTACTTTTATTGCTGTCCTGGTGGCATTCTCTGCTCCACTCTTGATATAATTATATCCCGGTGGCAAGCACTTTTTAAGGGACCAGGGCGCTCAGGGCTGCCCATGTCAGAATAAAATCAATGTACACAGGTGCATCCGGCATTCTGCCCCCACATAGGAGAGATACAACCTCAGCCTGGTTCCCTGGGGCAGGGAATTCCTCTTCACAGAGCTCACAGTGCCTCTGGTTCCAGCGAGCACTGTCCTGTGTACCATCCACTGCCTTGTCCCTTCTGGTCACAGCATGATTCAGGCAATGCAAGGGAGTCCCTCACGTAACAGGGTTACAGCCTGTCAGGGGCTTTGTAGATGATGGTCAGCACCTTAAACTGGTACGGAAGCTCCTTGGGGAGCATGCTTATTATCAAGGATCCTGCTTTTTTCTGTCTAAAAATTACAAGTCCCTGCTGGTGCCCCTCACTCCCTACCTGCAACCTCCCTGCCAGCCCAGCAGGCGGGACCCAGCGTGGCAAGTCAGAGTGAGCCTGGGCAGGGAACATGTTGCTGCCACTGGCAGGTCTCTGGCAAGATACAACTCCATGCCACCACCCCCACTGCTGCCAGGTGGGCAGGGGGCGTTTCACCAGGGTGGCGCAGGGCTTGCAGCATTAAGGAGCTTCCCTGCCCAGCCCCACTCTGCCCTGCCGCACTGAGTCCCTCCCACTGAGCTGCAGAGGCCCCAGGGGGAAAGGCAGCAGGGCAGAGAGCTCAAGTCCACAGAGGGCAACCTGCCCCCATCTCGCTTACAGATCTGGGGGCATATGCCCCCCATACCCCCCTGGGAGTGCACGCAGCAGTGAGGAGCCAGCTCTTCCCTGCCACCCAGGCGAGCCGCCCATGGCTCTGTCCCACTCCCAGCCAGGGCCCTGCATCTGCACCTTCCAGCCGCGGACCCCAGGCCCCACACCACTTGGGCTGGGCAGCAGCCCCAGCCCTGCCCTACTCCTTCCCTCCTTATGGGGGCCTCAATACCCCCTCCCCCCACCAGATTTACCTGCAGGAGCTGCTCTCCAGGCTGTCTAGCAGCCATGTGCATGTGTACGTGTGCACGGTGCCCCTTGCCTGACCTCTCTTTTCCCACTTCTCCCAGCCCCTTGCAGGCTGGAACTCTGCTAGCCTGCAGTGAACCCTTTGCAAAAATGGAAAATCTGCATTCCTCTATTAAAATGAAAAATCCATGTTTTTCTCAGTTAAAGGGGAAAATTCACATTGTTTCCCATAGGAAATGGAAAACCCAGATCCCTGCTTATTATGTAATTTACATGTTTTCTTCAGCTGGCCAGTAGGTGGCTCCTACATCTCATTGCCGACACCTGGCTTAGACCCTCCCTGTCTGCTGCAGGGAGCTGAGCTCAAAGTCCCTTTGAGAACCAGGGCAACCTGTTTTCAGACCTTTCCCCTCACATGATGGGGCTGTCACTCACAAGAGTGGTGCTGGCTGAATCTGGAACTCACTGGTAAACAGGATGAATGGGCCTCAACCTCACAGCTTTTAGAGCCAAAGACAAAACCAGCTTCTTGAAGCAGACTTTCCTGTGTGGATTCCTCATGGGGAGGGGTTGTGCTGATAGTTATGTCAGAGCCTAAAGGGATCAATAATCACTTTTGCCTGTTTGGGCTCTTTCTCTGAAGAGGAAAGGGGCATTCTTTAGGTCAGTGTGCCATGTCCCTGGGATGCAGGCTGCAAAGGCAGATAGGTGTTTCTAATACACCCCTAGGGTCCTGCTCTTGATGCCGAAGCATTTCACTCTATCTTCTGTTTTCAAAGGACAGTAGTTTCAACGGTGGGATGGCACTAGGAGCAGAGGAGACTGTGGGGCTCAGCACATCCTCCTCATCCATACCTGCCCACCAGACACTAGTGTTGATGGACCCTGATGGAGATGGTAGCAGTATTATCTTTGAAGATGGACCCAATTCAGTGTCTAGGCAGGTAAGAAGGGAATGGGATTTAGGGAGGCTGTTTGGAGGACAGATGGCCCAGTGGTTAAGGTATCCATCTGAGGGTTAGGAGATGTGTTTACTTCCCTATTTAGCCACAGGCTTCTTGTATGGCCAAGTTGCACAACGCTTCTTTGTTTCTTGATTTCCCATGTGGCACTGTAGGGAAGCTGTGGTTAAGGGTGCTTAGTAGGTAGCGTCAAACTCAGAGTGGACACCCAGTGCGTGTGGGGAGAGTAAAAGTACAGGCTGCGGGGTGAGATACATGAGCCTCTGAATGTGTGTATGACTGAAGCTACTTTGCTACAGGAGCTATGGGACAGAAATCTCTGCTGCACTACATTACCCCTGCTACAAGGACCACAAGAATCTTGCAGCTCTGCAAGGGGTTGCACCACATGGCTCTTGAGGCCTCTTCCAAGTCTGTGATTCCAAGGCAAATTCAATGAAAGCAGCCACTATTGTTCCACGTGAGCCCTGAGGTGGGATGGTCACAGGCTATGCTTCTAAGCTTCTGGTTTTAAGTGCTTGATGTTCAGAGAAAAAAAAACCCTTGGGTTGTAATTTGTCACCCCTGTTCTTGACACACATGCATGCACGCACACACGTATGTGTGATGTGTGTGGAGGGCGGGGCATGAAGGGCGTTGGGGACCTTCTCTTTTGTTAGGTTTGTTAACACCCTGTTAAGCTGTCTTCTTGGAACTGCAATGGGCATCATTCAATTCCTTGGACCTCAGTATTACCTTTGATCAGTCATAGGCTCTTTTTGTCTTTTAATGATGATTTTTCCCTTCCCTGCTTTTTTCTTCAGTCAGTGCAGACCACTGGTCAGCTCCTTGCCCTGTCCAGCAGAAATACTGAGGAAAGATCTTATGTGTGCTATATGCTTCTATGCCAAATCTCAGAGTTACAGGTTGTAGCTGTGTTGGTCTGTAGGCAGAAGTAATCAGAACTCTTGGGGAGGTGATATCTTTTATTAGTCCAACTAGATCCTTGCAAAAAATGTTTTTATTTGCAAGCTTTGGGGAGCACGTGCCCTTTGTCAGACACGGATTGTAAAATTTCTCCCATTTCCACCTGGGAGAAATTTTACAAACTTGAAATGTTACAATATTTGAAAGGGTCACAAACAAAAAAGGATCAACAAACTTTAAAATGGATTCTCTTTTAAAGGAGAAAAACATGGGACACCATAGCTTTTCCCTTGCAGGTTGTCAGGAGTTCCAACCTGCAAGAGGTTGTTTGGCGCCCCCCATATTCCACACACAGCCCACCTTGCCCCCCACACCCTCCTCCTGCCCTACAGACTGGGGTCTGGGGCCTGGGAGTAGTGGGTTGCAAATGAGGGGCACTGGGTCAAGACTGGCCATTGATGTTTACAAATGGGTCTTGGTACAAAAAAGGTTGAGAAACACTGTTCTAGTTTGCACTTTCCATAGGTTGCAAAGCAGTCCATGCAGGTTCCCCAAGCCACTTCAGAAGCAGGGAGTCAGACCCTCACCTTCTTAAGTCTGGGATGATCTACAGTGCATATTCCCTTGCCCTTTCCTTCCCATGCTAACCTTAACAAGCCTCTTTCTCCCTCTCTGCACAGTCTGGCGAGAGTCTGGATCAAAACCTGCTAGAGAAACAACTCATTGAACTGCACCAGCAGAACCAGCAGCTGCTGGAGGAGAAGAAGGAGATGGAATGCAGGCTCCGGGGAGAAATCCTGCAGCTGAAGGAACATGTAGGTAGAGTGGAGTATGCAGCTTGGCTGTCCAGCATGGCTGGCTAGGCCTCCTAGAACTGCAGAGAGGAAGCCTCAGCTTTGGAAACACTATTGTTCAGGCGTCAGTGACCTATGGCCTCTGGGCCAGATATGACCTGTGGAGGCACTCCATCCAAACCACAAAGCCTGTGAGGTTTTGGGTGGTTGGGGCTTCGGCAGTGGTGAAGGTTTTGCCCAGATAGCAGGGAGAAGCCACCTCCACTGGGTGGCAGGGAGAATTGGTAGTAGGGAGAAATGATGACAGCCAGGTTGAAGGGGCCAGTCCAGCTCAGACTGAGCTGGGTAATTTGGCCCACCATTCCTGAAGCATTCCTGGCCACTGCTGTAGGGGAAGAAAGTGGAAGGTGAGGTGACTGGGGAATAATTCTAGCTAAGGTAATTTCCAGTGGGCCTTGGTGCCCCCTGTTCTTATGTTACAGCCCAGTCTACACAGGGCTTCACAGCAGCTGCTCTAGGTGGAGGCACATGGAGTGTGGCTTCCCTTTCTCCCTTTCACAGCACTTATTTCAGTGCACTGTTGCCCAATAACATTGCTGAGCGGGATGTGAAAGGATGTGGCTGATGGGAAATGGAAGTTTTACAGATATGGCTTGATTTCTCTCTTGTGACTCTTTCTTGGTGACTTTGTACCAGGCCTCTGTTGCTCCAAACCCTCAGATTATTGCCAATGATAGAGTGGGACAGCACAGAGAGAGGCACCTCTCAGGCATGTGGGAAGAGAGGCTACAAAGCATGTAAAGGACAAAAGTGTCCTGTTTCTCACCCTTAATTCATGTAATCTGTTAACTCCCATTTCCACCACAGTGCAGCTTTGGGTGCAAGCATACAGGATCCAAATGCCACAGAATATAAATAGTGTGGAGAGCCAACATAAACTCAGGACGGCACTCAGGGAATGCGGGGTAGGTAAACTAGCATTGTTCCTCTGCAATAGATAGGAATAAAAAGTGTATTTTAGTCTCCATTCTCAGCTGTCTTTAGTGTAGAGGGCTTTGAAAACTTATTGGGCTAACTTGTGATCTTGTGAGCTTCATTGGATTATACCAGGATTTTCATCCACTAGTTTTATTGGGTGCAAATACAGCTTTTATGATAACAGGTAGCTGGTAGCACGGGCAGCAGCTCAAGTAGACTGTGTTCAGGCTCCTTCCCATCAAGTTACCTCAGTCCTGACCTGCAGCCCTCCTTGCTAGTTACTGTTCAGGGCTTTTCCTAAACAAGGACTGGCACTAAGAAGAACTGTGTGGTGCTGTGGGATGGAGGGACAAAAGCAAGATCACCAAACACATTTATATTGAGACCAGAGTCAAAATTTGCACCCAGGTCTCCAGAGATGATAGTGATCTTGTTAATCCAGTAAACTGTCAAGCCTCCAGATTTATACTGCATAATGTAGAAGTGACCTCTGAAGCTTGGTGTGAAAGAGAAGGTTTCACATAGCCCACGGTGCAGAGCTGTATGGCACTGCAATAGTGAAGCAGAGGTAGTGGTTGTTACAGTCCCAATACCTACAGGGATGACACCATTCTCCATCCAGTAGGCTGTCTGCTGCACTGTGTTTGACCCACTTTACCTGTGGCTCATCTTGAAGGCATTGATTGCTGCTGAACATGGCTTCACTGTGATTTAGAATCAAGGGCTCCTCTTGTATGACATCTCTTTGGTGGGCATTCCTTTTGTTTCAGATCGCCAGCATCATCCAAGCTAATATCCGTATGGCAGAGGAGCTGAAACAGTACCAGGCCTCGGATGACTTGGAAAAGAAAGTCAGCAAAATGGTAGGTCTCCTTCCCTCCCCTTGGAAAGCTCACCCAGATGTATTACCATTAGACTTTTTCAAGGTGGTTAAACCTCAGGGAATATTGTTAAAGGTGCAATGCCAAGTATTCCTGAGCCAACCATTCTAGACCAGGGCTGTCTAACTTCTGAGCAGCCAGCCGCTGCATGCCATACCAGTCTCAGGCCCTGGCTTACACACCACACAGGCCACATGCTGCCTCACCTCCCAGTGACATTACACAGGCCCCTTTTTGCCCCCCTGCCACCACTGCCACAGGAGCAGTGAGAGTCCCTGACCCACCGTCCAAGCTCCTCTGCCCCCTGGATGCGCATATGGGCATCAGGCTAGAGACCCCCAATCACTACAGCAATATCAGGGAGTGTTGGTGGGTAACCTCTTGTAGGCCAGATGCAGCCCACAGACCATGTATTGGCCAGCTCTGTTGTAGAGGTAGGGTTTAAAGGAGACGCATATAATTGTGTTCATGATTTGTATTCTAAACAATATAAATATTATTTTTTTCTCCTGCTTTGAAGTGCAGCAGCACCATTGCTTTCAGTAGGGCTATGTCAGCTTACACCAGCAGAAAATCTGGCTCAGAAATATTTTTTGGAGTTACAAATTACCTGTGGTTCTTTGACCCAAAGTCAATCACACTGCACTAGGGCTTGAAACCAGGAAGTTAAACTGACCAACCAGCTGAGGGAAATACACTGAGCAGCATTCATGATTAAAAACTAAGTTAGATGACAAGCCAAAATGACGAGGTTAGTAATTTAGCTCATAGGTGCCTCCTGCCGGCTATTTTGATCCCTCAGCTCCTCATGCTGGTGATGTTATTTTCATTCTCCCCTTTCCCCTCAGACCCTGGCTGCTTCTTCCTCAGGACAGCCTGCCAGCCTGCCTGCACCCTCTTTGGCTGCTTCTGTCCCCAGAAATCTTTGGGGACTGGAGCAGCTGTGGTATAAAGATGTTCTTTTATTTTTATACAACAGCAGCCCTAGGAAGAGCCCCTCCTTCTGTTTATCAGCTTTTTTTGCAGCCCTCCAGGCTCTACCCTGCCATGGAGACCCTGGATGCTTGTGGCATTGTGTAGAACAGTGGTCTCCAAAGTGGGGTGCGCAAGACGATCCATTGGGGTGCGGGAAAAAATAATATTTTTTTAGTGAGAGCAAAAAGGTGTTTTGTACCGTTATATAATTTATAAATAAATAAATATACATATATTGGGGTGTGTGCTCAAACATTTTTTACTGATGGGGTACACGATCAAAAAAGTTTGGAGACCACTGGTGTAGAAGACAGAAGGAGGAGTCAGGACCATGTAACCACTTTGCTGTTCCTGGGTTAGCAACAGCAGACAGCAGCATGAGAGCTGCTAGGTCAGTAGGGCCCTTTGCAGGTCAACAGTAGCACTACACTACGTGCTTAGAGATACTACATGCTGTTTTTCTGCATCAATTTTTTCTTCAGTGTGATGGACCTTTGAAAGGTCTCAGGGTCTGTTTCTGCAGCGGCAAAGTCATTCCTGTCACTACTACAGACTGATCTCACAAGTTGGAGGACTCGATACAGGAAAGTGCTTAAGGGTGACCTAGGTTACTGCAGAGAAAGAGATTGCTGACTCAGCAGCTGTTTGCCTTTCTCCCCCGCCCCCCTTTCAGCTGCTGCTAGCCCCAGTGCCCCAGCATTGTGGTTTCCTGACGTTTGCAAAGTGGTAAGAATGTTAACCCAGGCCGGGCCTTGCTTCAGTTCCAGTTCAGGTGATAATGGTGTACCTCACTGCCCAAGATTTCTCCCTGTTGTGTCAGCTAGATACAGATTTCAGTTTCACACTCTGTCTTCAGTGTTTGTTCAATGTTGCTTTTAGCTGTTAAACAACTGCTGGGTTCTGCACCAGTAAGGGAAGCATTTCTGGGTTTGCCAGATTTATTCCTTTAAATCAGGGGTATCAAATTCACTGGGCCCTGTGATTTGGATCCAGGTTGGGGCTTCTTGCAGTCCAGATCCACATTCATCTCCAGTAGTGGGGCGAGCAGCTGGGGGTGAGTGGTACTGTCAGCTCAGGGAACCATAGGGACTAACATATCCATCACTCAGCTTCCCACCCCTGAAATGTGTCTTCACTGGCCTCCATAACCCAGATTTTGGGAGCAGAACCTGCCCCCACTTGCCTCACCCCTGAATTCCTGGCCCCTCCATGAGCCCTGCAGGCTGGATAAGATGGCTCTGTGGGCTGGATCCAGATGGTAGGCCATATCTTTGACACCCCTGCTTTAAATGGTTAGCAAAAAGTCCTGGCTTCCTCCTTTATGGCTGGTACGGTATTGATGCAGGACTGATAGCAAGATGGAATCTTCCCTTGTCAGCTCCCAGTGACAGATCCAGCAAACAGCTGCATCCCTCGAAGGCAATGAGGCCTGCCTTTCTGTTTGACTCTTAGTTGGCTTTGCCTTCAGGTTGAGCAGATGGAGTGGCAGCACCGGGAACTGCTGCAGATGCATGTAGCAGCCCTGAGGAAGGAGTTTGTGCAAAGAAACAGTCGGCTGATGAATGGCAAGTCCAGCCCTCCTGCCAGTGCTGCCTTGGAACCTAAGGAACATGCCATGAGCTCCAGTGCCCACAATCTGCTGGCCAACGCTGCCCTTTCCTCCCCAAACAGCACCTTGTCCAGCAGCCTGGCAACTCCCCAGGACACATTGGCACCCGCACAGTTAGACATCAGTGCTGGGGACGTCCTGTCCTTCATTGACCCACCAGAGAGCTTACCCAACTCTGGGGACAACCAGCTGGATAGGCTGGAGACTGTTGAGGTGCACCTGGACACAGAACACCCAATATCAAGCCTGGAAGCTGGCTCCCCACCAGCTCATGTCCACCTCCTCCCTGTGAGCGAAATGAATGAGCCAATGGGTCTTCTGCCTTCAGCCAGAGGAGAGAAGAGGCTAGCACAGCACACGCTGACAAGGGAAAGCAAAGCCAAAGTGCAGCGGACAGTGTGATCCCAACAAGAAACCTACATGCTCAAGCCCCTACAAACCGTTCTCTTCCTAACCCAACAGCCAACGTGGATCTGCCAGTTTGTACTTAGTGCTTCAGATTTATAGTTCTCAGTGGTGCTGTTGGTTATTAAACTGCCCTTAATTTATAAATTATGCTTGTGTGTGTGCATGTGTAAATAAGAAGTTCTTCCCGGGGGTGTGTTGAGTGGTGTTTCAGGGAGGGAAGGGTGACATGCACTGTAGGGTGTGGTTCACTGTCCTCCAACAGGAAAGATTTAACCTGTGAAGTGTCTTAAAATAACCTGATGTCAATCCAGGTGCCTTGGACTGGCCTCACATTTAGGCTATAAAATGAAGACTTATGTCTACAGCTCTCTAGTGCCCTGACTCATGGTCACATGACACAACAGTGATTTTCAGTCAGGGTCCTGCAGCACCCTGGGGTGCCATGAGATCCTTCTAGGGGTGTTTCAGCCCCTGGCCCCTGTGTGAGAAAGAGAGGTGGGGGCGTGGCACTCCATATTAAGGAGGAATACACAGCCTCGTCAATTAGTAAGGAGTCAGGGGAGGGGCACTCTGAAGTGCTTTGGGTTAGGGTACAAGGCAGTCGAGGGGAAAAAGACTTAACGGTGGG